CCCGCGCCGCCAAGCTGTTCCCGCCCTCGCTCAGCGCCCAGGTAGCTGCGAGGAAACTTTTGCAGCGGCTGGGTGGCCGTCCTCTCCCGCTCCTCTCAGGGCCGCTGCTGGGCTCGCCGCGTCCCAGGAACGCTCTAGCCCCCGCTGCTGCCACCCCGTCTCCCGTGCCCCTCGCTCCCGTGTAGCAGGATGGCCGGCACCGTGCGCACCGCGTGCTTGGCGGTGGCGATGCTGCTCAGCTTGAACTGCCCAGGACAAGCGCAGCCCCCGCCGCCGCCGCCGGACGCCACCTGTCACCAGGTCCGCTCTTTCTTCCAGAGACTGCAGCCCGGCCTCAAGTGGGTGCCGGAGACCCCAGTGCCAGGTGAGGAGGGCTCCCTGGCGCGTCCCCCGCGCCCGGCGGGGCGCGAGGCGCGCGGTGGCTGACCCTGAGCGGGCGCGCTCGGGCCGCGGTCCTGAGCCTGGCCGCCAGGCACCGGGCTGGGCTCGCTGGGCCGGGCCGGGCCGAACCGAACCGACTCCCCTGAGGGAGGGACGAGGGGATGGGGCCCGGGCCCCGATGCCTGAGGGCCCGCGCTGCTGTCAGGGACACCGCCAGGGGCCAGGGTCGCGAGGTGGCCTGGCCAAGGGCGCCCGTGCCCAGGAAAGGCGGGAAGGGGGGGAACTGATTCCCAGGGTCCGGCGACCTGGCGCCTCCAAGTCCCAGCTGCCGCCTCGGGAAGCGGCCCCCCGCGCGGGCACATACGTGTCACAATCGCCGCCCCAGCTGGAGCTCGGTGCTGGGCCCCCCTCGCGGCCAGCCCCCTGCGCCCCCTGCCCCCCTCGGGCTCCAGGGGTCCAAGTGCAGGCAAAGTTAAAACGGCCTCTCTGAGCCCGCAGCTGCAGGTAACAGACACGCGGAGGGAAACTTTTGAGGTGAAGGTCCCCCCAAATGAGGAGAGCCGAGCTTTCCCTGTCCAAGCCGTGTCCCTTAGTTGATGGACAAAATCGCTGCCGGAGCGCGGCGGCTGGCCCCTGGGAGCAGGCGGGCGAAGTGGACTCTCTTCTGCCGGGCGCAGCCGCCTTCTTGACAGCATGGGGTGGGAAAGGGAGGTGAGTTTGTAGGTGGAGGAAAGTTTAGGGGCGCCTGCCTTTTGTTCTGTCCCCTCGGATCAGGCCGTGGGAGCATATTGGAACCTTAGCCAAGGGCCGCCGTTGTCAACAGATGAATATTAATGGCCGGGTGTGAGGGACTGCCCCGCGGCGGGGCTCCGAAAAACCTGCAGTCGAATCCAATATAGGACAAGTTGCGACGCTGACGAGGCGGCCCGGAAGAGCAGTTTTTTCAAACAGGTTAATTTCGCCCAAGTGCGCCGGGAAGCCCCCAGCGCCTCTCGGCGATCCACGCGCTCAACTGGACGCGCGTCCCGCGCTGCCCAGGGATCGGCGAGCAGCCCTCCCTCAGAACTTAGCTCCCAGCTCACAGCAAGTCGGGGAGGTGGGCCTGGTGCCTGGACCAAGTTGTGAACGTGAATGCGCGCCCCGTGGGCGCTGCCAGGGAATGTTCACGGGCAGGAGGTTACCTAGGCAGCCAGAGCGCCCTCAGCCTTTTCCTTAGATGGATGAAGAGCTGAGCGAGCCTGCTGTTTTAGTGACTGAAATACATTTGCACATATGTTCAATATTGCTTTGCAGGATTTCACTCCGAGGGGTGAGGGGTGAGGGGTGAGGGGAAGAACTACCTCTCCCCACGTGGGCGTGTGCTGGGGCAATCTAGGATTCTGTCCCACGGAGCTGAAACAACAGGTGAAGCTGTGACCCCGAAAAGTGCCGTGGTAATTAGATTGCTGAGGCCAGGGAAACATGCTTTTTGTGGATCATGTAAAAATTGGCCCTGGCAGGCCAAGCCCCCACAGGATGAATGGATCCAGGGTTGGGGTTGGGGCCACATTGTGCTGATTAGAACCCAGGGAGTAATGATTGTGCTCCAGCCAAAGAAAAGGCCCAGAGGGAATGCATAGATACACATTTAGCAACCCCCCTCTAAGCATACACTCCAGCGAGGCGCTCCCCTCCCCCACTGCCCTCTGAGCTCTGCCTGCCTCCCTCTTTGCTGCATCTGTATAAAAAGTATTGGGAGGGCCCACACACTGTGTCTATAAGATTCTGCCTGGGATTTCTCCCTCACCCACCCCCCCACCTCCAGTCACCCCCTGCCTAGAGATGGCCACACTTAGGGAACAGGGACTTGTAACAGAGATTTTGCATTCTAGTGTTTTATAAACTCGATAGGAGAAACCCCTTTCCGAGGGGCTTCACCATATAAACTCAACAGCCCCCCTTTTCAATTCGATTTAACAAATGCATCCAGCGGAGGAGGCGTAAGGGGCAGCTTCAAAAACTTCATGGGAAAATTTCCATGATCACTCATTTCTATTTTGTCTACAAACTCTGTGAAGGCCCCCTTGGTACAGTGTTGAGCAGCTCCTGCCTGGCAGGCATTACTTCCAGTATGGTGATGCCCATGCCCTGCCTCACGTGCTAGTGTAGAGCCTGGATTTTCTGGATCACCATGGATTTCCCATGCTTGGGCCTGGCCCCAAACCACATGCTCCTGGGTTTTTGTAGATAAGGGGAAACCTGGTGGCGATCCTCCTTCCCCTGTGCTGAGCAAGCCAGCCAGCAAGTGAGCTCATCAGTAATTCCGAAGAGAGATGATAATGGCAGAGTAACTACAAATGGCAAGTGTGTAATTTCAAAGAATAATGTGGAATTTGCTGCTGTCGTTCAGTGGTTGGAAATGGAACGAGAGCTGAAAACTATGTGATAGTTACGAACCATCATGATGGCCGCTCAATTCCCCTCACCGTTCCCCTCCTCAAGCTCCAGTTTTAAGTCCTGTTCAGTTTGCCTGCTCTACTGTATTAACTGCATTAAAGTATTCTTTGTCCCAGATAAAATGAGCTTTGGCCTCAGTGAGGAGTAATTCTCCAGAAAGTCCTGTCTTACTTAGGGAGGGGGGTAGCATTTGGGACTGACTGCGGCTAACTTGGGCCACTAGCAGAATTGGGTTAGAGTGGATAAGGTACATTTCTTAGGGTAATATGGATGAGTCTAAGTGGTATTTGAAATCAGTCAGCCTAAAAAATAAATTACGGGTGCTGAAGGACTTACAAAGCAGGGCACTAGCCTTACTCTCTCACATGTTCCCATTTCTGTTACGGTGTTCAAAGGCACGGGATAGCCATTTCAAATAGCATGCCCCCCCCCCCCCAATCTATAGATCTCTGTCTCTTTCTTCTTCTTCTTCTTCTTAAGGATTTATAATTTGGAAAGCACCACAGATGGAAACCAGGCCCACAGAGTTAGCATTTGGCAGCAAAATCTATATAACTGACTTTCAGTGCAGCCCTTTTGCCCTTATTTAATTTAGAAAATTTCAGGAAAAAAAGAACCAATGAGCTCATACGACTAGCTGTTTATTTTGTTTTGCTTAACCTACCCACAGGCGCAATCAGGAATGGATACAATTTTAGGCAAGGAAAGTGAGCTAGTAATCAGACAATGATGTTTCCAATTGTCTCAAGGGAATGTTACAGAAGTCTGAAAAAAAATTCTCTAAACAAAAATCAAGTGTAATTCACTTTATGAATGCCATACACCATTTTTTTGCAGGGGGTCGTTTAAGGGTGGAGGTAGTGGTGGAGGGGAGGGTGGGAATGAGAAAATAAAATAAACTGTGATAGTATTACAACTCCCCAAAGATTGAGGGAGCTTGCCTTTGGAGAGCCTTGGAACGTGCGAGAACCAATCCAGAAGGCCAAATGCTTGTATGGGTAGGAGGCAGCTATAGAGGCAAAATGTGGAGTTTCTCAAAAGAGATGAAATGACATACAAGTAAAAAGCCAAGCATTCTTATACAAAAGAGAGAGCTTTTAATTAAAAAAATTTTTTTTAAGTGTGAGAACCAGCACTTGTGTCTGGTTTGCCAGTTGTTCATCAAAGGAGCCTTTGGTGGGATGATGGTTAAGCCCCCGGCTGCAACTCCAGGGAAAAGGAGGTTTGGTTATCTGTTTCCCGTAAAGATCACAGCCTAGGAGAAACCCTGTTGAGCAATTTCACTGTGTCACATGGGGTCGCTACGAGTTGTAAGCAACTCGAAGGCATACAAGCATATAACCAGGGTCCTATTGGAGAAAGAAGAACAAAGAAGGGAAGGGGGTTCCCTCCTGAGATTGCACTAGACATTTAGGTGACTTATTAAAACTTTGAAAAAGTTATCTTATTGTGTGCTAACTTGGAACCATTTAGATAGTTCTTCCAATTGTGGTCTGAATGTATTTCTTTCAACCATCCTGATTATTGGTAGCGAGATGTAATAAGAGGCAGCCATCGATCTGATTGAGGCCGATGATGGGGCAGTGTGGTGAGGGAGAGGGGGCTGGCCTCAGAGCAGTCTAAGACTCCTCATGTCTTGGCAGGCTCTGTGTTAGGTGCTGGGGGGTGTAGAGAGAGGAGTAAGTCCCGGTTTCTTTTGTCAAGGAGCTCACAGTCTAGTGGGGGAGCATACAAGTAAACAGGCTTCCCAGGAAACTTGTAGGATTAAACAGGGTGAAAAGGGCTAGAAAATACCTCCAGGAAATTGGCTGAAATGGTTACAATAGCCAGCCTGGGCAAGGGAAAAGAACTGAAGAGATGAAGTGGGAGATAGGGAGAAGTCTCTTAATAGGACCGCCATCTTAAAAAGAGTTTTCTTAATTCTTGCAACAAATTCCATTTTGTAAGCATTAGGAAATACAGGCATAAGAAGATTTGGGTAGATATTAGGTGACACAAATGGTGTCAGTTGTCCAATGTGTGTGTGTGTGTGTGTGTGTGTGTGTGTGTGTGTGTGTGTGTGTGTTAATGGGGCTGGTAGGCTGCATCCATTCTTTTGATGCAGTGTTTTTGAGTATCCTGCCATTTCTGTGTTTAGAGTTGCAATGTTTGCTGCTCAGTGTAGCCCTAGCAAAGGGCTGCTTATTACCAACCTGGGAGAAAAGAGCCCTGGATTTGTCTAGTGTGAGACAAGACAGAAAATCTGTTTTCTCCATAAATGGCAGTTATCAATGGCCACACCAGCTTTTGTGTTTGATGCATATACAAAAGCATGGGTCTTAAGAGGTATCTTATTACTCATTTCTAAGAAAATTGAAGATAATCACTTATAACTTGTGCACACGATACATCATTTGGAAAGAATTTCACTGGGGATCATATTGCTCAACTGAAAAGTTCTGGCATGCTGAATTTGTACATTTTTCTGAATGCTTCCTTTTACTCTGATCTCTAGCCTTTTTCTGCATATGGTTATTTGTATGTTTTAGATTATAAGCATCTTAAAGG